TGACTGATTTCAGCCCGGCTGCCAAGTTTTTGTGCAAATGTTTTGAATGTGATCCAGCTCCTGGCAAAGTGTTATATTTTTGTTTGTAGGAAGCTGTGTATCATCAGGTCACACATGGTATAAATGACATTTTAGTTTAGCATTGCTGCCAGAGAACATCCATTTAGAAATGTTTTAAAAGATTTGCCTTGTTTTTTTCTTTTACAGATTTCTACAACTTTGCCATGTCCTAAAGGTACAACTTAGAACTCATTATATCCCCATATCTAACTAAATCTCAACAGGCATTTTAAGGCTGTCCATACACTGTTCAGGCCAGCAGGCTCAACAAGAGAAATCTACAGTTTCCCCATCGATGCTAAATAACACGGATGGAGGAATCTTCCCTGCCAGCTGTTGTATTCTGACAGCTCCCATCTGTCAAATTGCCTGAACAATGCCTGTTGCTAACTGGCTGCTTGGCCAACAATTTTCAATAAAAGTTTGTTGAGTTGAGTGGTACCGGCAGTGCCGCCCACTCTTAGAGTTTCAACCACTTCCTGTGAATCGGCCACAATTCTAACAGTGTATGGCCAGGTTAAGATCACAGGACCCTAAGGTTTGGGTCTTCTCATGTACTACATGCCAAACTGGGCAAGTCTCCACATTTAGAACTAAATGGCAGCTTCTGGTCTTCAAAGAAGAATGGGATGACATGTGCTCTTCTCATGTGCATGTCTCACCAGCAAGTAATAACTGGTAGATCAATCTGTATTTCATCCACCGGACCTATCTATTCCTGGTCCGTTTTCATGAAATGGGACATATGACCACCCATAACTGTATACGCTGGACCCAGTCCGAAGCTGATTTTATGAACCTCACATGGAGTTGTCCAGTCATTTCTGGAAGCAAGGACTACTTTCTACTTAGTCTCCCAGTTTTGTGTACACCTGAAATTGGCCCATTTGGTTTATTGCATGAAGAACACTGGCCACATTACACCAGAATATTCAGAAGGGAAACATTGTTCATGGCTTGCAAGGCTATAGCTATTAGACCTCTAGCGTATCTCAGTGGAAGTTTTTAATATGGGGCTTCTGGTGTGAATCTACACTTACTTTGACTTTGGATTAAAACCATTCTGGCCCTCTTAATGCAATCCCTCTATAAATGTCCCTTAAAGATGTATTGGACCAATTGTTGGTTATGTTATAACTACTCACTCGAGACTGTCAAAGTTTGTTCAATTATTTTATTTTATGCTTTTGTCCACTGTTTACATGATTTGTCTGTCGTACATATGCACACTGGAGATGTATATTTGTGAATTTTGTACAATTGTGAAAGTAATAAACGGATTTAAAAAAAGATGTATTAAAAGGCCATCTGCAATCATCAGCATCTTTGTAATGATCTATCTATCTATCTATCTATCTATCTATCTATCTATCTATCTATCTATCTATCTATCTATCTATCTTCAAGGTGCAGGATACTGTATAATGTGAATATTATACATAATGCACAGATGGTTTGTTTCTAAGGAGAAATAATTTGGGGCCTGCTCTTGATGGCAAACTTTATGCACAGGAGATCCATTTTAACCAAGGGCGTTATGTAATGTCTACAAATCACCATGGCCCGGGAAGCCCAATCTTGAACTTTTTGAACCATTTACATTACAGGTTTCTTACCACTAAGTGAGAGCCCCTCAAACTGCCCAGTCACACGAATTCAACACAAAAGGAAACTGCAGCTGGAGTCCACTCTACTAGACCCACAAGAGATGTGACTGACCTAAGTATCACTTGTTCTAGTTGGTCTTTGTTGGCATCTATCACAATGACTTGTGAGTATCAGGAGCACCAATGTTTGCTCCAATCTTTATTTGTTCAGGTTTTAAAGATTAAAGGGAATAAGTACCAAACACAAAATGTAGGAAAGGGGGAAATACAATAGAGAGACAATTCTCAAAACTAGAAAGGCATCAAGAAAGGGGAAAGGTTTAAGTTCATATGTTGGATTCACAGTTTGTGATGTAGGGACATTGCAAACCATGTGGATTAGAAGATTAATTGGAATCCGTAGACTTAGAGTAGAGTGTAGCAGAGTAACAGAGTAGAGCCACTAGTGTGGTGGAAGAAGACTCAGACTATAAATTGAAGATAGAACTGTCACCTTTGGGAGACCCAATGTACACTGGCAGAATGAGCTGTATTGGAGTCTCCTGGTGTCTTGAGACCATGGGTCAGGGTTGGAGGAGAGGAAAAGAAAAAAACAAGGGCCGAAGGAAGAGAGGGATGGAAACTCAAGAAGGGGTATGGAAACTGGGAGGGAATAAGGGGTTTGCGAATAATGCACCAAGATTATCATGTATTGCAGGAAAGATTGGGAAAGGAGTCTTTCTGGGAAGCATGGGGTGCAATGGACTGAGGGATGGGAGAGATTGCAGGGTTAGGAAGGGATTTTCTAGGGGAGGGAAAGGTTTTGGTGGCTGGGCAGAAGGAAGATGTTCAGGCACAGTGTCCAAGGCAAGGTTTTGCAAAACCTGTGGGGTGGAAGGAATGGTGATTTGATCACCTGTCCCCCTACCTTTCTTTACTGAAAACAAAGAAAAGAGATAGGAGGGTGAAAAAAATGGTTCAATGTATGCAAGATTACGTTGGGATTTAAAGAAAACAGGTGGCCGTGTGTGGCATGAAAGTGGTGCCAGGCTGACCAAATGGAAATTAATTCATCAGTGGTATTGTTGGAAATCACTCTGGCTTCTGCATTTTGAGCAGTGGAGGTGATGCAATGTATCCAATCATTTAGAATTGTTGATTTTTGGGATATCCAATTTGTCAGGATCAAGGATATAGCAGTGTTCAATAGATGTACTTGCAGAGATCTCATACATGTCTTCAGACGTAAAGAAGTGAAGAAGGAATCTTCGGGAGAACATTTGCAAGATTGCTGAATGGATGGAGGATGGCAGCAGCCCCACAATTGTGGAAGATGGAACCTAGCTCAGTGTTACAGCGCCAGCATCTAGAAGAAGGACCAATGTTACACACATACTGGAAAATATCTGCAACCAATGAACAGTGGAAGAGAAGGAATGATGCTTTGACCATGTGAACACTAAGTCTGAATGTAGGGTGAACCAAGGATCTGAACTAGTGCTGCAAATGTCTTATCATCCATCATTCTCAAGGAGGAGCCTGCTAGCAGTTAGGATGTGTCATTAACTGAGGCTTGCAAAAAATCCAGATTATGTATGAGTCCAGCGAACTTAATCCTACTCTGCAGCATGCTGGCAAACAGACTTTTCTACTCAGATTGTGGCCACTTTTTAAAGCAAATGAATTGTTATTATTTTAATCAACTAGAAAATATTTAGCTAATTGAAACTGACAGTTCAATATGACTTTAATATGTAATTTGCTGCCCTGTTACATAATGTGTATTGAGTTTACTGGTCCTTTAAGTGATGACAACATAGCTGTGTACACCTCTACAGTGACTGGGGTGTCCCGTGTAACCCACACCTTGAGAGGGCTGTGTGTGGCGACAAAAGGCCACCCCAGGTCACTGTCCCCGGTCACCGCCCGCCCCCCTCACACCGTTCCGGCTTTTTTTTTTTATTCCCC